AACTATCTAACTAATGACGCGACTCCAAACCCCACCCCCCCCCACCCCCACCCCCGAAAAAAGGCAAAAAAAAATAAAAAAGAGTTGCCTATCTTTAGAATAAGTCATAAATCTCACATGGCGTAACGTGTTGTTTGGCTTTCCCATTGGATATATTAAATTAAATTAAAAGAGGGGAAAATGAATATATACGTATATATAATATAATCACCGACAACTATTATATTATATTCCTCAAAATCATGTGTGGATATTGAATTCCCTATCCTTTTCATTATCCTTTTATTTTTATTTATTTATTCATGTAAATATTTACACAATATAAAAGGTTAAAATTATGCATCTTCTTAATTTATTCGCGTTTTAAACTTTTTAATGAAAATTCTGACTAGCAACAAATCGAAATGGAGAAATGAACCTACGGTTTAGTACAAAAATGCCATTTTTAGTGAAGTCATTCACCTCAGTTTCATCTAAAAGACGGTCTGATGCACTTTAACTTTTCGGGGCTCAAAGTATAAGAGAGAGAATGGAATCACATCGACTCTATTGTACGCAATATTATCTTATATATGTGCATACTTAATAACAAAACACTTGAAATGAGATTCAACTAAATATCATAAGAGTTGCATACAATAGTGAAATTACACTAGAAAATCAATTGGAAGTACTAGTAATGTACATATTTAATACACATTTGATTCTTTCCATAACCCTAATAACACCAAATGAAAGAACCAAACAGAAACAAAGTAAACCCTAAGAGACATGTGCTGGTTACCACAGCTTTATTCCTGAAGCAATTTACAAAGTCACAACTGTTGTAAGGCAACAAATCAGTGAGTCTAACCGAGTTGACGAGAAACAGAACGAATCCTTTTATACAGTTTCCTCGTCGTGCTCTTCGTGTTACCCTAATATAATAGTTTCTTTACATCATTGACAATTCGACGAATTCCTTCAAGCGCTAACTTTCTGTGCTTTTGCATCTGGAGTTTTTAGAAGTTCAGCGTGATGTTTCCCCTGTTGTTGAGACCAGTAAGCATGAGCAGCTAAGACTCTGTCCAGAAGTTCCTGGGGAACGGGCTCGCCTCTTCGTTGTTGCGGGGCAATGCTTGCTGTATGTACTAATGTCTTCCATTTATCCTACATAAACAAAGCACCACACATCACATGGATGATGGGAACAATGATTACCATTTGCTAAACAAAGACTAAAAAATTAGTGAGATCTATGCTCTTATCTAGAACAACTCATATGTTCCCACTTTTGCTTTCTAGGCAATCATTCATAGCTGTCATTAGATTCATTAAGCCATTATAACAACAATTTACAATATAATAAATCTATGGATTGTCAAAATATGTAAAGCATCTTGTCACATGACGAGAGACCTTTTCTTGAGTTACTAATACTCCTTCCATTTCATTTTACATAGCGGAATTTTACGGTCTAACACATGTCATGACATACACATGGCTCTAACAGCATATCTTGTAAGGGTAAGAACGGAAATTTTGGGGAAGTTACTGATTTTCAAAATGTCTCGTTTCGTAACATTCTTTTTAAACGGACTAAAAAGAAAACAGTGCCATAAAAATTGAAGCAGAGGTGTATCTAAGACGTGGGATGCGAACTCCAAATGATAATGAGACCATGAGCATTATTTGCTAAGAACAATATGTGATAACATCAAGGATTCTAAAAAATTAATTTCTCAAGAACTGGCATAATGCATGGAAAAGGAACACACGTTCTTGCTCATTAGAATCCTCAGAAACAATAATAGCACCAATAAGATGTCTAACCTTCAAGTCAACATAAGTTCGATGATCAGCATTATCGAAAGCACGCATTTTAACATCACGCCACCTGATTATCAGAAATTATCAGAAATGCAGTTCTCTAGCGGACAATTTGTTTTGCTAGCAAAGAGGATTTTGAAGTTCTCGTACCTTCCAGTTCCAAGATGCTCCACAGCTTCAACTAGTGCTTCTACTTCTGCAACTGAGAATGGTCTCCGTATTCTACGTTGTGAAAGTTCAGAACGTTTACTTTTATGGTTCAGCGGAACCATAGCAAGTGCCTCTGCATTAACTGAAGGGACTATCACCAAGGCTCTAGAATCTGGAATAGATACATCGGTTGATGAATCAATAGGATTTGTAGGCGATAGCTCTGATGGATGGTTATTCTCGCTGTACTTGCACATATCAGTCTCTAGAGGGTCTGCTGAAGCATTGTGAATCCCAAATTCCATTATAGGACTAGGTCGCCGCCTGAGCATAAATATAACTAATTAGTCTAAACCCAGTCAATTTCATAAATGGTGGTTTTGCAACTAGCATTTCTTTCCAAAGCAACACACTAGTTGAAATCATAGGAGTGCTGAACTCTTCGATCATACCTTGTTAGTTCCTGATCTGCAACATATGTTGATGAAGCCGGAAGTTTATTAGGAGATGATGATGGAGAAACTTGGGTGAATCTAGGCTCCAAAGTGAAACCCAAATTATCGAGGTTGCCATTCTGGGAAATGCCAGCCTGCTCCAGAGTTCTATTGTCATCTCTGACCTTCTTTCCCTGGAGAACCACCCCAACCCGTAATCCACTTTCCAATATAGCTGTAACTGCCTCCATAACCGTTCTCTGCATAAGAAAATTAGCACTTAGCTTCGAGAACTTCCAATTCTAAAAAAAAACAAAACTTTCTAACATCATCACAAATCAATTAGTTACAACTGCCAACATTATCATTCCTTCATTTAATGCAAGCTTTCTGCATATCAGAGAATTCTTAATTAAGCGGCTTCAGAGACATACTAAATGACGAGAAAGATTAAATGAATAACTATATTGACTGACAGATGCAGCAAGAACAATAATTTTCAACATTCAGCAAAGCAGAAATCGTCAACTGAAGTTTCTTAGTCAACCTAGGGAGGTGGGGGACTATTGAATTCAACAGAGGAGGAGTAAAAGAGGACACCCTGAATACCTTCAGAGAGCCAACTGTTGCAGTTTCAGGAACCTCTATGTAAAGCTCTGGCACCTTGAAAGACTTGATGCTAAATTTAACTGAAAGGATATATTGGACTCAAGTTAGAAGTTCTATAGAAGATAAATATGCAAGGTATCAACGAGGGAAAATTTAACAAACAGATGAAATCAAAAATCCCTTACCATTAGGGTCCTTCTTGTGATGATTGTTAACTGAAGCTGGATCAGCAGTTCCTGTAAAGCAATACAGAATATTACTTAGTATGACTACATAAATCACCAGGACCTTCAATTTCAAGGTCAATAGTAAAGTATTGACCTCTCGGCGGGATGGCATGCGAGGTACTAATGTCTCGTTTGATTTCCTTGTCAGGTGAATTTGTAACGCTTTCGCTACTGGCCTCCTGGTAATATGCAACAGCAAAGCCATGGTTGCTCAATTTCCGTCTCTTGGAAGGAACTTCAAGTTGGCATCTCTTGCGTGCACGTACACTTTTCCTACTGAGGTAAAAGGACTCCATTCCACCATCTAAACCACCAAATCCATGTAGTTAGAAAATGACATGAAGTGACAATAGAAACATGTACAAGAAAAGCTTAAGCTGCCAAAATTTCGGAGGTGTCAGGTATATTCTACACTTACTTGTGTAAGATCGCTCATATTCCTTCAACTTGGGAGCCACTTTCCAGTGTCGTGATTTCAGCATCTTCCTTATTCTTCTGTATCCAAGTCGTGATGTCGTCCTAAAGGCCCTTAACTTGGTGCTATATCTATAGCAGTCAAAAGAATTTTCGTCATCATCTCTAACACCTAACTTTACACTGTTCCTTTGCTTTACAAAAGAAGCACTAGGAACCGAATCCCTGTACAAGGGTAACTGTACACTACCATCTGAGTTAAACAAGCCACTGTTATTAACACATTCTTTGATTGGATTCTTTACACTACAAGTGTTAGTCACAGTTACGTCTTCAATCTGTTTGCTGTCATCATCTAAGTGCTTTTGGGTTCCTGTCCTGATTTTACTATCACATGGATCCTCGAGACTAGAGGATCCACCTTCAATTTTGTGGTGGAATTTTCCATCAGTTATATTGACCTCCTTGCAGTTTTCCAACTTCAAGTCAGCGTCAGAACCTATAACAGTAGAAGTATGCTCCAAGAAATAATTATTTTCTGCATGATGAGGTTTATCGAAACCATGTTTCAAATTCTGATCTTGGACTGCAGTGTCGGGTAAATAGTCGCTTTCTACACAACTCCCCTGGTCAAGGCACTCTGATTTCACAGCTTTACCTTCTTCCACTTGTTCGCTTTTAATACCATCCCTGCCATCAGCAATTTCATTTTTCCCTTCTGCTGCATTACTGGAAGTAGAGCTTTCGCTCTCCAGTAAAAGCTTCCCGGCAACAGCCGCCAATAATTCAAATGCACAAATTTGATCATCATCCAATTTTTTACAGGAACGTCTCCTCTGAAATGATTCAGAATCGCAGACGATATTTAGAAAAGTATATAAATACAAGACTTGTAAAAGATCAGACAATTAACAATTTCAGCATCCTTACTCTAACTGATCTAGGAGCTTTAGGTATAACTGGAACTTGAAAGCCATTGAAACCAAAATCTAACTTCTTCTTATACACCATATCTTCAGAAGCATGCCAACAAGTGATCACCCGATGCAATAAACCAATGTCACTGATTTCACCAATCTACACCAAAAAAAAAGTTTTCATCAATCATCATACAATAAGCATTGACCAAAGACAACATATACATCATCGCAATGTTCAAAAGTTGAAAACTTTAAGTGACTACAAATACAAAGGCACATAAAAAAATGTAATATCATTACATAAAGCAAACATAATTTTTCACATAAGCCGAGTGTCTACACAATCTCTCTACCCCCTACAAAGGAAGGAGTAAGGTCTGCCTACACCCTACACCTCCTCGAACCCCACTTGTGGGATTACACCATATACATTGTTGTATTTTCCAAATGCACTTAGCTGATCCACAAATACAAGGAAACCATACATCTGAACCAACATCAATATATGCAGAATCCGAGATCCTTCTACTAGCCACGAGTATATATATATATACAAAAATGCTTACTATACAACTCGAATAAGATCAATCACTGTTCTCGAAAGAAGGTATCAGCATAACAACAAAAAAAAACCAAAACTTTCACCAGAACACTAAAGAAAAACATCCCATTCTGTATAAGAGATCCATCTCTACAAACCCAAATTTCAATCAGCAACAATTCAGAATAAAAACACAAAATTTTAACTTTTGATCCAACCAACAAAACTACACCTCAATCAAAACTAATATCTATTCTACTTCATTTTCGATTCACCGATAATAACTAAAAAATCAAACCCAGTTCCAATTCTCACCCAAATTCAATCATTTCAACAAATTTTCACTTAACAACATCAAATTCCAGACAATCTAACTGAAAACCAAACAAAATTCATCAAATCCGATCAGATCTCCCTGTGATCAACCTGAATTTTCACCGGAAAACTCAACCAATCTCCATCACCATAAAAACCCATCAAACCCTTGTTGAAAACAACACAAAAAACTGCATCCAACAAAATTTCAAAAAAAAATCCAAAAAACAGAGCATAAAATACCAAAAAAAAAATAGAAAAAATTACCTGAGTAGAAATCTATGAATTTTGTATGAGAATTATGAATTTTCAAGCCATAAAAAAAAATGCTAAAAATGAAGAAGAAGAAGAAGAATTTGTACTTGTTTGTTACAACACTTTTTATTTACTTTTTCTTGTTGGGTAAGTGAAATTGTGGACAGGATTGAAAAACCTCTGGGTTTGGTAAAACCCCCTTCTCTCTTCTCTCTCTTTTGTACTATTTCTACCCCACCCCCACCTTAGCCCCCCACCCCCACCCCCCACCCTACCCACCCACAATAAAAATTATTTTAAATTTTTTTTAATAAGATTATCTTTCTTTTCTATCATACAAAAATTATAAAAAGCGTATTCAAAGTAATCAAAATCTAATATTAATATCAAATATAAATTATTTTTCGTTTTTAGAAAAAACATTAAATAACTATACATATAATACCACTAGTTTATTTCTAAAATATAGTTATTATGACTAATTTAGTAAAATAACTTTATTCTAATAAAAGGACACTCTCATTTTAAATGTTTTGGTGCGTATATAGAAATATTGTTTTATGTATTTATCTATCTTTTAAGAATATGTACTTTTATGTTATCTCATAAATTATCGTAAATTTTTTGTCAAATTAGGTGGATCGAAGAAGATTAAACTCAATTTTATTTTAAATTTATCATCTTAAAAGTCTTTATAAAAACTCACACTTTTTATATGTGATAGTTACGTAATTTTCTTAATTTTATTTATTTAAGAATATCAATTCTGATCAAAATATAACCAATTATTCTATTACAAAAGCTACATATATTTAAATTATTTCTTAAAGGAGAGTGCTAAATCAGTAAGGACTATTAAAAGATAATAAAAGGAATTATTTTTATATCTAAAAGTGATTTAAAATTTAAAAAATATTTTATTTTTAATAAGATTATTTAATTCACAAAACTATTTAAAATTTATTTTAGATCAACATCTCAAAAAATATTACTTCCTTTTTTCAAAATTCATGTTCAATCAAATAATATTTCAAAGAGATCTCCCTTGATAATTCCTTTTGTGATACTAATTTCTTTTATGATTTATAATATTGTGCTTATATCTTTATTTTCAATTTTATTATAATAATTTTATAATAAAATATTTATATTATTTAAAAATAGAGTTATAAAATGTATATAACTTAAATTCTACTATTATTATCTTACTTGAATGTTGGATATGATACATTAGAATTTCTGATTTCAAGCTTTGATTATAAAAAAGAATTTTGATAAAAAACAATATCATATACCTATTTAAATTTATCGAACTCAAATACAAATTTCAAAAATTAAATTAAATTTTATTTTTTATATTTAAAATTAAAGACAAAACGGGACCACTTTGGTTAAAAGGACATGAGTGTCAAATGAGTTAAAGGGGTGTAGACCAACTATATCTTAACCCTTCTCCTTCACTCACCACCACTATTCTCTCATCACCCCATCTCTACTTTTCGTTTTTTCATTTCGTGTTCGATATTCATATTAAAAATTAATTATATTTTAATCGTATATTATAAAGCTTATTTTTATATAGATAATTTTAATAAAATTTATTTTCTTTTCACAAGTTTAAATTTAAAATTTCTGATAGAAAATAAAAAAAAATTTAATCATTCTATCGCAGTTTATATATATTTTTACTTAGTATAGGTTCTTCCTTCCACCACGTGTATCTTTGTATTTTTTTAAAAAGGCCTATTTTATATATTTTTTTTCTTTTATTAAAGGTTTAACTCTTATAATTATAAAAAAAATAATTAAATTTCTTATAATTATCAAATCATGTCAAATATCATGTATCTTTTAGTTCTCTTTATTTGTTGAAATTTGTAATTGATCAATTATATATACATAAACTAAATAACCTTATTTCATTTGATTTATGATAAGTCAATTTTTAGCCTTTTAAAATTCAATTTAAAATAAGTGTTTTTTTAGAAAAGGATTGAATTTTTCTTTTATCTATTAATTAATAAATGATTCGAACAAAATATTTTAAACTCATATTCATATTTCTTGAATAAACTAAAGCTGAAAAACTATATATTAAAAAATAAATAAATAGTGAGATAATATTCTTAATTAATGAGTATTATTAAAGTAATTATTTTTAATGCATGTCAAAATCATAAGAGGGGAAATACCAAAGAGTTTATTATGACCCCACAAAAAGAGGAAAATGATTGAATTAATTAATATAAAAGTAGGACCACGCTCATTGGAATCTTATCAATTAGAAAACCAAAACAAACAATTCCTTACGAATTCTAATTCGTAAAAATGACTGAGTTGGTATAATATATTTTCAAAATTATATTTTATGTGTGATATTTTAACTTACGAAGTTTTTTTTAAAAAAGAAAACTCTTAAATTTGGGGTTCAAAATAAAAGATAGAAATTTATATGACTGTAAATTAGTTTATTAAGAGTAAAATAGGTATTATATAGTTTTCATTCTTTTTTGGATAAAACTAAAAAGAAATGTAAGTCAAATAAATCGAAACAAAGGGATATCAAAATAATTGAATTGGTAATATATATATATAACATAAAATTAGAGATTGATTTAATAATTTAGGAGCTCAAAATTCATCGAGGTTTCTTAGTTCAAAATTTAACTACTTTATTTATCTACTATACATCTAAATATTAGTGATTGTGACTTATGAGTAAAAAGATGAAAAAAATTTATCTGCATCGAGTGTTTACACTAAATTAATGTAATTTTTATTATTTTATGATTTAATAAAGTAAAACACATATTAATTAACTTTAAAAAATCCTTACCATAATAGAAAAAATAAGATGTTATATCTCTTCAAGTTTATTAAATTTAAGTCATTTAAATTTCAATTAATATGAATGTGTGATTAAATTTTTTTGATATTTTTGTAATTTCAATCTTTCTAAGATATTATTACTTCAAATTTATTAAATTTAAGTCATTTAAATTTCAATTAATATGAATGTGTGATTAAAATTTTTTGATATTTTTGTAGTTTCAATCTTTCTAAGATATTATTACTTCAAATTTATTAAATTTAAGTCATTTAAATTTCAATTAATACGAATGTGTGGTGAAATAATTGATATTTTTGTACTTCCAATCAAAGATGCCTAATTAAATTAACTAATTTAAATCTCTTATAATGGCTGCTAATTAGTTTACTTTTTAATTTTGAAAAATCAAATGACTCGTCAAAGGGAGATAATATTAGGTACGTCACCATTATTTTATATCATGCCACGTTTATAATTTACAATTGACTCAACACTTTTTCTTTAAAATAATTATTCCAATTAATTTACCTACATTTCGATTAATTTTATATATTATAAATTATTTTCTAATACTATATTATGTAAGTCGTATATCAAAAATTTAAATTTAAAATATCTGTTTAAACATAAATTTCTAAATCCATGATCAAAAGTGATAAGATAAACAAACACAAATTTAAAAAATAGCATATTCTTTTTATTAAGGTGTTATTATAAGTAAGTTTAATTATATTTATAGGGTACTTTTACTCTATTAAATATATCTTTTTTTGGTGTAATAAGTTGCTTCAACTATTTTTTTGATTCTAAGACGATTTTATAAGTTAAAACAGAAAAGATTAACTTAATTATTATTTTTTTCTAATATACATGTTGAATGCATATATAAAAATTATTACATTATATACTATAATGAGATCATAATAACTTATTCTGAATTTACTTACTTTAAATTATAAATTCAATTCGAATATTTATATAGTGAATTTTATTAAGAAAAAAAAACAATGAATTCAATAGGCACGTGGTGGTTGAATTGACCTCTATTTTATCTATTTATCATTTTTGTGTATTTAATTTTGGGTTTCATATAAATTTAAAGAACTATAAATTTTTGAGTTTTATTGTTATTTACAACATTGGATTTATCGATGACACATTTAAAAGAGCATGAATATACTCACATTTTGACTTTAGTGAATTAAATATTTATTTTTACTCTAATTTGTCAATTAATTACAATAAATATATATACATAATTAGCATAATTCTGATGTTTGACTTTTTGGCACCTTATTAATCTGAATTCTTATGGAATGAAGCAAAAATCTTTGCTTAAAAATATAAATATATTTAACAGTGAAATTTATTCGCACTTAATATTTATAACGAAGTATATTATCATAGTTAAATTATAAATTAAATATTATAATGTCATTTTTTATATATAAAAAAAAAAACTATATTTGATGGTCAATATAAAACCAATGAGGTCATGGTCTACCCCATCCAAACCCATAAAAGTTTTTGTGGCATATAATTATGGACTTTGGTATATTCTCTTCTTTTGTTTTTATCTATTTTTTTGAATATAAAATTTAGTGCCTTGGCCATACATAATTTTCATTATCTCAAAATTTTATTACAATTTTTTTTTTCCAAAAATTAAAATCCAAATCGAAAAACCCTAAAAAGTTATTTTTTACTTTAAATTACTCGCAAAAAAAGTGACAAGAATATTTTTCATATGATAAACATTTTTCACTTTCAATCTTAAGACTGTAGATTCGAGTCATCAACAGATCAAAAAAATGAAAAGCTCGCGAAAGAGGTGATAAAAACAGAAAGTCATCACAACGAAAATTCATAGAAAAATATAATTTATACTTATTTCTAAATACAAATTTTTAAATAATATTTTATTTTTAAAAAATTTATAATTTTTATGTCCATACCAATAATGTAAGAAAAAAAGAAAAAAAAATACTCTAAAATGAATTAAGCAATGGGATTTAATCCATTAGGAAAAGCATAAAAGAATACTTTACGTGAAGGTCTCAATCACAATTCATGGAAAAAGCATAAAATAAAAAATAGTTATTCTAATAAAAATTTCACTCGATATTTGATATGATTAAATTTAAATTTACGCAAAAACAAAAGTCACATTAAACATAAAAAAATTTTGATAATTTTTTTTTACATGATTCGAACTCAAGACTTTTAATTAAAGAAATGATAATATTCATTGTACGAATAAGTTATTATAATTTGTATATTTGATTAAATAAGATCATATATGAAGAAAAAAAATGAAAAAAAAAATGTAAATCTTATATATTTTAAAAATTTTCAATTATAAAGAATTATATCCACCCACAAGCCTAGAAGCTACTAAAATAAATGAGTGGACAAAAGTGGCTATTAGTTATATATAGCTTACTTGTACCTTTCTCTCCTTATTCTATTTCCTTTAAAATAATATTTTAAATGTTCATCGATCGTTATTCGAAATTTACTAATTTGATTAATTTAAATTTTTGTTAACAAAAGCTAAAATTTTTGTCTTGGAACATCGAATTACTATTACTAAAAAAAATACTTTAAGCTTTTGTTTGACCATAAATTTTAACAATAAAATTTAAACTTTTAGGTTTTATGAGTAAAAATACCCGACCAATTTTAGAAACTTGAAAATATTAATAAAATTTAATCAAATTTCATGATCAAACAGATATTTAAGGATAAAATTTAAAAAATTTATGATCAAACGTTAACCGAAGATTCTATTCTTTTTCTTTCATTTTGTTGAATTGAATTTTAAGTCAAACCTAATATAATTTACACCACTAAAATTGCTATCACATGTAAAGAGTCTAAATAAAATAATTTATAAAGGAATAATTGAACCCAAAGACTTTTTAAGATAAGATGCTAAGTTAATTTGAGGAGAAATTTTTTTTTTAAAAAAAGGGAAAAAATCACTCACCTACCCACCAAAAAACTCACTTTCTTCTATGATTTGCTCTATTTCCTATCGTATCTGAGTCATCTTACACGCACCTTAATTAATTTCAAAAAGAAATAACTATTTATCAACACACAGATACCGAGTAACTATATTCATTAAGGTTTAAACCGATGGTAAGTAGTTATTGATATAGAATAGTAGCACATTTTCCTCGTTAACTCGGTGAACAAAACATCCAACGTTAACCGATGAACAAAGCATCCAACGTTAATAGGGTTCGGAAAAAGACGGCACAACAACCTAACATGTTCCTCTTTAAAAGGCAAAAAAATGAAAAAGAGAAATGTGGAGCTTTTCTAAGGCTAAACCATAGAGAAACCATTCATCTAAGTTTTCTACAAATAGTAACAACCATACCTCAATCCCAACCTTGTTGGGATCGACCTTATAAAAGGACAGTTCGATGCACAAAGCATCTCATGTTAGCCTGGTCCAGGGAAAGGCCACACTCCAAGGAGAGTGACGTAGACAACCTAACATAATGCAAATGCATTAGTGGGATCGACCTTATGAATACTCATTATCCATGTCGTCCCATTTGAACACATTTCAATCAAATATAACGAAAAGGATTATCTAGCACGAGTTCTCAACATTTTTTTCTGTTGGCATGTAAATCTCTAACAAGAACAACATGATACTCCATAGATATTGTTACATCAAACAAATTTTCTAAGAAAATTAGAAGACTAAAAAGATAAGATTAAGATCTATATTCTAATGGCAATTATTGAATGTTTTGAACTTCAACTTATGTTTGTAAATCATCTTCAATCAACTCTTTGTCTGGGTACTGAACATCTATTTTTTCTGCAAAAGAACCATAGTGTTACTGCATCTCTATTCAAATTCATCTAATCAATCGATAAACTTACACACTCGAATCAAGAAAACAACCAACCTGTGTTTAAGCAGCTCGTGCTCCTCACCAACTTAGGCTTCATATTTTCCAATGCTCCTCTAACCTTTACTAAAAATAAAAAACATATACTGAGCTGATCAGAAAACCAGCCTATTCGAGACATTGTTATGAATTTATCTGAGAAAGCACTTTCCTAAATATGGAGAAGCAAAAACATGGCGAAGGGCATCAACCTTATGCAAATAAACGAGCTCTAATGCAAGGGTAGAGGTAGACCTCACGTTAAACTTTGACTCAAACGTTGTATATATGTACTAGGAAATCCACTAAATATGTACACAAATTAAATTTCGAACACAACTACTAGAACGGGGGTCACTATCCTACAATTCAAAACCAATACAGTTCAAATCCTAGATCCACCTCTAGTAAAATGGAATGTAACGTTCACATGACGTTATGTCTAAGCAGAGCATTGGAGTATCCAGAAAACTAATCACATAGAAGAGCATATACAAAAAGAGAAAAGCAGAGTTTCAGCTGGAAATAAATGCTATGAAAATGATATTTTTGTATTTCTATACCAGGTATTCCGCTGTAATCATTTTCTTTTTGTCTACTTTCGATATTTGGTGTTCAAACTCATATCCTTCAAATGTGAAGTTGTTAGCGATGAAAAATATCGTAGCAAGAGAAAGGTGGTACCTAATGACATTCAGTTGAGTGTCATTTTCTTTTTCCAGAGGTTTAGTAGCACAGTAACTCCGTCTTGCAGAGTAGCTTTCTCACCAGTTTCATAATTCCACAACTTCGAAATGATGTATCCTCCACTTGGGTTATATACATTAATCTCAGTCAAAGCGGTTGTAACAGCTTTATACACATCCTCACCGTAAGTTCTCTTCAGCTCTTTCAGTTTTTCATCTTCATCGTCTATTACAGCCTGAAACAGCATCAACAGTATTTTAACATATAATAAAGCGTTTGGTATAGAAAAAACTGGTGAGAAATAGATCAAGCGAGAAATTGAAGTGTGTTTTATTTCCTTTTTTATTCAGACAGTAATAAATGCATACAGTATACATTCTAGAATATTCTAACCTATAACGATGCATGATACATATATATATATACATTAGATATATGGGGCCGTTGTTACTCCTTTTGTCTCAATTTACGTGGCACGGGAGACATTTCTGGAGTTAACTACCTAGTTATACTTATTTCTTCCCCCAACAACTTCACTCAGGAGGAATTGCATATTCTTAAATGAGAAGATCAAGACTCTCATAATTGAATTTTTTCATTGCTTACACGTTTTCTACAAATAGGGAGAAGGGTAAAAATACCAATAAACTCTCATTGAATAGTTAGGTTTAACCTCCATTATACTATACCGCTAATCATACACTCGCCATCTGCAAACATGCCACCGAAACCCCTACTTGGACTGAAACCCCAAATCAGCTCAAATTAACATGAATTTCTTTAAAACGACCCATTCCCGACCTTCTATCTATCTTAACCCAAACAAATTTAATCCATTTCCAAAAGAACTTCCAAAGGATATGATCTACGTTGATGGACATTTGAGCCCTTTTTTCCCTCTGGATCTCTTCTAGACGCTGTAAAGGTACCAAATTTATCTAAGCTTCTTCAATTATGTTTTCCTCTATATGAGTAGTATTTCTGGAATTCAGCCAGCTTCAGGTCAAGATTGGGACGCGATAATTATCACTGCAGCAGATTTGCAAGCACTTCAACCTTTTAAGAAAAGGGTTCTTGAGAAGCTGGAATGACAATGGATTTGGAGCTTGTTCTGGTGGTTGGCTTGGTATTAAATGTGCTCAAGGACAAGTCATTGTAATCCAGCTTCAACGGAGGGGTCTAGGTGGAAGCATTACCGAAAGAATTGGACAATTTTTATCTCAGAAAACTCAGCCTACATGATAATGTTATTGGTGGTTCATTTCTTTCTACTTTGGGACTCATACCAATCTTAGAGGACTTCAACTCTTCAACAACAGCTCCTCTAGTTCTTATCCCTGCTTCTCTTCGTTTATGCCCTCTTCTTTAAACACCTAATCTCAGCGATAATTCATTCTCAGGTACAATTCCAGGTATTATTTCAACTAAGCTTTACAGGCTTAATCTTTTGGAAATGAGTAAAATTTGTTTAGGTTAAGATAGATAGAGGGTCGGGTCGGCCATAGGTTTCAATTTGGGAATGGATCGTTTTTAAGAATTCGGGTTAATTTGGGCTGACTTCGGGGTTTCCGTCCAAGTAGGGGTACGGGCAGGGGCGGATCTACATGGAGTTCAGGGAACCCCCTCAATCGAAAAAATTATACTGGGTATTTAGGATCAAATCTGTATTTTATGTCTATATATTTAATATTGACCCCCCTCAACACAAGTAAGGGGCTTGATTCAGCGGCTATGGGGGTTCAGAAACTAGTAGACTCGCGGGTTCGAAACTGGCTAGCAACAGTTTTCAATGTTTTAACTTGAAGTCTGGTACAGTTTATTTGTCAGCACTATATAGCATGTTTTTTTTAAACCCCCTCAACGGATATCCTGGCTCCGCCACTGTTAGGGGTAACAAGTTTGCATACGGTGGCGGGGGTATGAATAGGCCCATAGTATAATGTACGATAAACCTAACCTAACTATTAAATGAAAGTTGAGGGGTATATTTTACCCTTCTTCCTTTGTTTTTATTATGTTCTTTGTGACGACACGAAACCTAATCATTTTCTTTTCAAATCCCACGTGTATCCTCAATCTCTTTCTCGATGGGGAAAATAGCTAAATGTTAAGAAGAAAGTGTGTTTCTCTATCTATTTAGTACTCTTATCTGTTTAATTTATTTATCTTATTTTCCTTTCTAGTCTGTTTGAAAGAGATCATCTCTCTTTTTATGGAAACTCTTTACCTATGTTGCTCGGACTCTTCAAAAATGTTAAGGGGCACGTGTCGGATTCGCCAAAAGTAGTGTATTTTTGGAGAATCCGACACGGGTGTGGCATCCGAAAGTGAAGAGTCCACGCAACATAGTTCTTTACTTCTAGTTTTCTACACGGTATGTTAGAAGAACCAACTTTCTTGAATTTGTTTTTTTGTAACGGACCTTATTTGTCTTTAACAAAAAGCAAAAGGAATTCCACAATCTAATCACAGGTTTGCGACGAATTGAAATGCATAATCTGACGTCCAACAATATCCAATAGTAGCCTATATGTCTATGCCACAGATGAGGAAAAAAAACTAAAATTAAGTTCCAAACAGATGCAATAGGAACAGAAGAAGACACACAGAACGTTATATCTATGAGGTGTCCATTACACTGGTCATATATCGTATATATTCTCACAAAAATGATCAGACTCCCAAAGTACACATCACAACATATCCGTGGTAGAAACTAAAACAAATGGAAGCAAAAGTATTGTTCTTCTTATTAGTAAAAATGAGTTTAAACAGACTCGATGTCATGAACCAGAATAAAAAAAAGCATACCTTATGTTTCCCATTTACGGCAACAACTTTAATGGGATGCCACTCAGGGTCTCTAAGGTACTCCTCCCACAACGAGCATAACTCAGAAGCTATCTGCTCAGCGTCTACCTCATTATATCTCCTCTTCACTGCTTCAAAGAATGGTCTGCTGTTGAGCTCTCCCATCCTCTTAACACCAATAGGACCTCTTCTAGGTAATTCCTTCAAGCCCTATAGAGAAATTTAATTGTCAATTCCTCAAATCTTCTCCAGTAAAGGCTGAAGCCAGCCAAACTCCTCAACCCACCAAAAACAGATTTTGATCCAGAAAAAGGAAAGCTAAATTTTAGTATACTACCCTGTCAAATATTTTTTAAGTAATTCTTTAAACCATTTAGGGCTAGTGTATAATGTGCATGTATCTTCAAGTAGACAGAATGAGCTCATAATTCAGGACATGAGTTGTTATACTACTCCCCCACCTAAACCCTCAAAAACACGCGACAATATATCATTAATAGTCTTTGTATTTTTTATTGGATCATGCTATTCACAGTTTCAATCAGATACATTCCTCAATATCATGTAAAACAACAAGCCATAGTAGGCCTCCTTACATACATTAACCAATTCTTTAAGTGCTTCCTGCAGCTCATCATTGCTCTTTCGCTCCTTCACAATTAAGGTTTGGTTCAATGACACTAATTCTTCATATTTTTCTTCCTTTTCTCTTAAACATTTAAGATGTGTGTCAACGTTTTCCAGAACTTCCTGATCGCCTTCCTCTTCAATGTGCTTAATAATCACTCGCAATTGCTCTAATTCTGTTTCACTAGCTTGTTTTGCATTGAGTTGTTTCTCAAGCTTAACAATTCTCTTATGAAGTTCCTCGTTTTGTTTCTGCAGAAAGAAAAATGGCAACTTAGCAATATGTTAACATAAGCATTAAGATAATGTCAATAACAAGCAAAAGAGAAACCTGAAAGACAGACCTTTAGTTCTTCTGCCAATTTCAGTACTTTTGCATCAACATTCTTTTGCTCTTCAACCGCAGCACTAAGGGATGTTTTAAGGATAGCATTCTGGAGGAACAACAAGAAGACTTCATGATAACTATTTTCAATTCAAATAAAGATCGGCACATAAGAGTCCTTGGTTCTTTAGGTGATGCTCAAATTATTCCATAAAGATGCTTCTTTAAAAAACTTTTTCTTTTTCAATTAACATGCAAATAAAACAAAGAACAGCATATACATATCAACCAGTGCTTGCCTATTGCTCTTTTAAGTATGAGGAAGTGGAAAGAAGAAAAAGAGTGGAGAGAAATGGATGCCAGGAACCTGAATAAGTATTTTAAATTTGAATGTTAAGTAATTGTTATAACCATGCCTGCATTACTTCTTGCTCGGTGTTGTGAACCTAACTAGAATATTTTAAGAAAGTTTCAACTAGCACATCCGCCAACATATACGAACATTAAACCATCACATAAGTTCTCAGACTTTGTTAAAAATTAATCTTTCATTTTTGCAAATGATAAATCAAACCAAAATCTAATTCAGCATAGAAACAATTAAACAAGTATACCTTTTCATTTTCTTCAGATAGTTTTTTCCTATCGATTTCATTTTGGGCTTCACGTTTCTGCAGTTCTTCATGTCGGCGATCAAGCTCCTTTTTTTGAGTTTCCATTTGCAACTTCAACTTTTCATGATTAATAAATGTCTGCTGGAAATGATCACGCGCACTTGACTGGATCTTTTTTATTTCTAATCATACAAGCAAGCATGTTAGGGCATCAAATATACAATGTTCAAAGTTTCTAATAGACGCACATGCAATCACTAACCTTCATTGTTTGCTTGACGGAGTTTAGCATTCACCACAATCAACTGTTCGACAGACTGGACAGTCTCCCGTAATTTGTCCTCCAACACCTTTATGTGCAACTTCTTGACTTCAATGGCACTGGTTAAACTAGAAACAAGTGTACAATTCTTGCGAGATTCTTCTTCCATGATACTAGAAACAGTTCTAAGGTCTCCAACTTTGCGGAGCTTTTCACCAACAACATTAGTGGCCTGATAATCATCAGCTCGAGCTATCCAAGCATACAAATCAGATTTTTTGTCATTATTGGCTTCCCAATTCTTCTTCCCATGATCATCGGCCACGTAGGCCTTCTCAAATGATATGGCATTGCTGAACCCAAACCAATTTTTCTTGAATTCAACAAGAGCAATTCCAGAATGGCCTAGGTCATTCCAAAGAGTGCGCACTCGTGTTGGATTGAAACCTTTCCTTATCAACTGATCCTTCAGATTAGAACCACTTTCTCCTACATAGCGACCATCCTTAAATTCAGTGGGAAGGTTCACAACAACCCCAATCCACGGCCACACAAACATCTCCAAAAGATCGTGATCTGCAAGGGAATCAACCTGAGGATTACCCAGAGTATCAGGCTTTGATGGACTGGCAGCACCTGCTACATCATTTCTGAAAAACTTGGCAAATGTAATATCTTTTGCAGTTCGCTTATTGGAGCTACAATTTCCTGCTTCACTGACATGCAGCATGAGATCCTTATACAAACAATCTTGCTTTCTTTTCTTTGGACAATAGGCAAAAGTATAAGCCCCATTTGGTATGCTGAAAGAGTTATTTCCACTCTTCAACTCTTCATAAGATATTGATTTACCAGGACCACCTGCAACATCACTTGACAAGTACTTGGCCAATGCAAGATGATTGGCCTTATCTCTTGCAGTTCGCTTCTTAGAGTTACAGCTTCCTACTCCGCCAGCATGCTGCAAGAGATCCTTGTATGAAAAATCTTTGTTTCTAGTATCTGGACAATAAGGGCAAGCAAAAGCCACATCTGGATTGTTAAAGGAGTGATTACCACTCTTCAATCTTTCATAAGGCATTGATGCATTAGCAGCACTCGATACATCATCTTCCAAGTACTTGGCAAAATTTTGCAAGTGCTTGGACAAGGAAAGATGGTTAGCCTTATCCGTTGCAGTTCGTTTCTTAGAGTCACAGCTTCCTACTCCATGTGCATGCTGCCAGAGATCATTGTACGAAAAATCTCTGTTTCTCGTCTCTGGACAATAGGTACAAGCATAAGTCCTATCTGACATGTTAAAAGAGTGTTTTCCACTTGCTGACTCTTCATAAGATTTTGATGCACTTGCTACATCACTTTCCAAGTACTTGGCATATGCAAAATGGTCGCCTTTATCTCTTGCAGTTTGCTTCTTAGAATTACTGCTTCCTACTCCACTTGCATGCTGCAACAGATCCTTGTACGGAGAATTTCTGTTTCTCGTCTCTGGATAGGCACAAACAGAAGTCACATCTGATATCTTTAAAGAGTTATTTCCACTCTTCAACCCTTCATAAGATTTTAATTTACCAGCTGCTACATCATCTTCCACGGACTTGGCTAATGCAAGATGGTTGGCCCTGTCACTTGCAGTTCGCGTTATAGAGTTACAGGTTCCTACACTATTTACATGCTGAAAGAGATCTATGTACGAAAAATGTCTGTTTCTTGTTTCTGGACAGTAGGGGCAAGCAAAAGCCATATTTGATATCTTAAGAGAACCACTCCACTCTTCATAAGACTTTGATGAACTGGTAGAACCTGCTACATCATTTTCCAAGTGCTTGACTAATGCAAGATGGTTCGCCTTATCTTTTGCACTTCGCTTGATAGATTTGGAGCTTCCTATTCCATTTGCATGCTGCAAGAGATCCTTATAAGAAAATTTTCTTTCTCTTGTCTCCGAACAATAGGGACAAGCAAAAGTCCTATTTGATATCTTAGGTTCATTTCTACTCATCGGCTCTTCATAAGATTTTGCTGAACTGGTAGAAGCTGCTACATCACTTTCCAAGCGTTTGAATAATGCAAGATGGTCCGCCTTATCTCTTGCAGTTCGCTTCAAAGAGTTGGAGCTTCCTATTCCATTTGCATGCTGCAAGAGATCCTTATAAGAAAAATCTCTTTTTGTTGTCTCCGGACAATAGGGGCAAGGAAAAGCTACATCTGATATCCTAAAAGACTGAGTTCCACTCTTCAGCTCTTTACTAGAGTTTGATGGACCAACTGCACCTGCTACGTCGCTTTCCAAGTACTTGGCCAATGCAAGATGCTTGGCCCTATCTCTTGCAGTTCGTATTGTAGACTTTCCTATTCCACTTGCATGTTGCAAGAGATCTTCATAGAAAAGGTGACGCCCTCTTTTCTCTGGACAATAGGGACAAGTGTAAGCCACATTTGATATCTTAAAAGATTGATTTCCACACTTCAGCTCTACATAAGATTTTTCTTTATAGTCGTCAATCTCCCATTCAGTTATATCAGCATTTTCTCCAGAACAATGCTCCATTAAAGATCCTTCTTGATATATTTGAACTCATGAGAATGGAACCTAGAGATCAAAAGGCATAGTTCATCAATTGTCAGTCGAAACCAGCATCGTTGACAATATACCAAACAAGTAGTAAGAGAATTTTGAATTAAATGTGAATTTAATCCAAAGGGAAACAGTCTGACTGAGATTAATCCCAATATATACATGTATATATATAGAGAGAAGACATAACCATTTATAAGATTTTCCTGTGGATATTCTTATCGTCCCATGGCATGAAGAGGAGGTTCTTAATTTCGAAGGGAGATTATATTGTGAAGATGTTTTAAGATGGGTGCAGATGAATATGTTACAAATGTGTAAACAACTTCCAAAACGTTGAAAATTCCTCTAAGTAATGGTATGGAATGGAAGTGAATTAAACGAAATGGTCAGTGACAACACTCAAATAAAACTAGCTAAATTGCGCAGTAGCCTCATAATACCACAGACCAAACCTCAATCTCAAACAAGTTAGAATAGACTATATGAGTCCTCATTATCCATATCACTCCATTATCAATCCGTCCCAATACCCCAATGAAACACAACGAAGCAACAATTATCCATCTTTCCTCATCTTATTGAGTACCCAATAAACCAAATAACATAACCACCAACACCAATGTTCAGTGACAAGACTCAGATAAGACTAGCTAAATTGTGCAATATGCAATAGCCATAATACAATAGAAGACACCTCAATCTCAAACAAGTTAGAATCGACTATATGAATCCTCATTATCCATATCACTCCATTTTCAACCTGTCCTAATCCAATATTCAAAATGTTAGATTCTTTAACATTAGAACTTCTCCACATTTTCTGCTAGAACATAAATCAAGACTAGAACATGAAAAATCATTCATTGCACCGTATTTCCTCAATTTACTGAATCCAGACGAAGCCCGATGAAGCAACAAGTATCCATCTTTCCTATCTTATTGAGAACCCAATAAACCAAATAACATAACCCCAACACCAATGTTCAATGACAAGACTCAAATAAGACTAGCTAAATTAGCAATAGCCCCATAACCCCACACACCATCCCAAACAAGTTAGAATCGACTATAGAGTCCTCCTCATCCATATCACTCCATTTTCAACCCCTCCCAATCCAACATTCATAACGCTAGATTCTTTACCACTAAAACTTCTCTACATTCTCTATTAGCACATAACACCAATCAAACCTTAAAACACTCAATTGAACACCTCAGTCCCACACACCACACTTGAACCCCAAACAAGTTAGAATCAACTATACGTATCCATATCACTCCATTTTCAACCCCTCCCAACCCAACATTCAAAAAGATAGATTCTTTACCACTAAAATTCTCTACATTTTCTACTACCATCACATATACCAAGACTAGAACATGAAATATTTTTTTAAATCCATTTTCCTGTTTTTTTCAGCTAATTTAGCACCCACTGAACCAAATACCATAACCCACAACACCAATTAACCTATAAAAAAACTCAATTCAAAAGATCCACAGGTAATTCTCAGCTAAAAACATGAAAACAAGCAGAGAGGAAAAAAAACCTGGTTTTTCATCGAATTGATCCAAATTTTTTCCAGTAAACTTCAACGAGCAAAACCATTACAGGGTACAGAGTTTCTTGAAAATCCAGTTAACAGAATTGAATTTAAAGGGGAAATTGAATTGGGATTTTGATGAACAAGAGAGCTCTGCAGTAGAATTTGTACAACTATATTTGCTGTCTAGTGGTTTCCGCCTATGTTTTCGGAATTAAAATTCGACTAAATTTAAATTTACGAGCGATACTCTCTATGTGAATTTTAAAAAAAAATATTAATAGCCAATGAAAAGTTAAATAATTTGTAATTTTATTATTATATAATAAAATTAAAAGATCAAAATAAATAAATGGACATTTTTTACATTTAAATTAGAAATAATATTAATATGGTGGTAATTTCGTTTCTATTTTACATTATATTATTATAATATATTGTGATTAATAATAAATAAAATAAATAAATCATATATTCTTTTTTCTAACAACTTATTAAATGAATTATCATGATACACATTTTTTCTTTCTCTTTAGACGATTAACAAGAACGTAAATGATTCAGTTTAACTAGTTAAAATTTTTCAAATAAAAATTTAACAAAAAAATTATGTGAATTGAACAATTAATTTTTATATTGAGTAACGAATGATCTGCTTAATTATCTTTGATTTTATTTTTTCAAAGCTATGGCAAATAATATTTTTTTTCGAATAATGTTAGCAATATTCCTGATTGTATCATATGTTTTTAAAAAACTTTTTGATAATACTAGAAGATCTTTCAAACTTATTTGCGATCATTATTTTCACACGGGTGTATAATATATATTTAATATTTTGCATGGCAAAAAAAAAAAGTTAATCACTAAATGATTTATCAAGTGATTACTTTATATAAAAATACATGAATAAATTTTTATAAATACTTTTTTTTTGTTAGAGGTCTGCAAAAAATCAAAATAATTATATACCAGTGTGCCAAAAATGTTCACAATCAAATTTGGCAATTAGCCTTCTAATGTTATCAACAATTTTTTCTAAACAAATAATGCAATCAAAAACATCATTAATCACTTTTTTTTAAAAAAAAACATTATTAGCCATAGCCTTGAAAAAAAGAAAAACACCTTGAGAAATATGATTAAAAAGAATGAGGTGAAGAAAGAGACTGATTTCAATAGTATTTATAGGGAAAAAATTTAATTAATGATTAATTAACTTTTCAAGATTATATAAATTATGTCAAATGTTTAAATGGCAAAATGGAATGTAAATAAATATATGATCTATATTTTTTTTTATGGTTTGTTGTTTATTTTTCAAAAAAAAGGAAAACAAATTCAATTAACTTACTAAAATTGCATTTTTTATTAGATTCTCTTACTATAATAAATTGTTTTGTTGTTCAAATAGTAATATAATACAAAAATAAAAATTATTTTATTATAAATACTTTATTTTTCTAAAAGAAGTTCTCTTATATTTGAAATAAATATAAGTATGTTATGATAGTTGAAAATTGTAAGTTCTTTAGATTTTCACATTGAAAAAAATTTATTATATTTATTAAATGGTATATTTGTTTTTATTAATATTCTTAGACCTTATTTGTTTGCAATTAATAGTGTCAAATATTAAAGGTTGTATTAACTTTAAAAATAATTTTAAAGTTAATAGACATACTTTAATGTACTTTTTGTGTTAGATTTACTTACTATAATATTAATTTTATATTTTAAAAAAAATGTAAAGAAATAATTTTAAAATTAATATACATACTAAAATTGGTACTTTTTTGTGTTAGATCTTCTTACTACATTTCTTGTTGTGTTGATTTAGCAGGTCAATATTAGTCAATTGGGGACAAAAACACGATATTTCAACATTTAATTGATGATATATATATATATATATATATATATATATATATATATATATATATATATATATTATATATATATA